TTTACCAATTTGTTTCAATTCTGACGCCTATTAAAGCAACAACGTTTGAAGAATTCATAGGAAGAAAATGCTCAGTAAAAGTGCTACACGCGATTATTGCTGCTGCTGCTACTATTACTATTTCTCAAGATTCGCTTAAAGAAAAACAAACTCGGCCAGGTATGGTGGCTCACACCTGTAATCCCAACACTTTGGGAGGCCAAGGCGGGTGGATCACAAGGTCAAGAGATCGAGACCATCCTACTCAACATGGTGAAACCCCGTCTCTACTAAAAATACAAAAAATTAGCTGGGCATGGTGGCGCGTGCCTGTAATCCCAGCTACTCAGGAGGCTGAGGCAGGAGAATTGCCTGAACCCAGGGGGCGGAGGTTGCGGTGAGCCGAGATCGCGCCATTGCACTCCAGCCTGGGTAACAAGAGCGAAACTCCGTCTCAAAAAAAAAAGAAAAGAAAAGAAGAAAAACAAACTCACACATATGGTATTACAAATCCTGCATTCCTCACAAGGGGCTGCCCCACTGGTCTCCCCAGTAAACAGCTGAATGGAATGGGAGTCATTCCCTCAACAGAGGCAATGCAGCTCCAACCCAGAGTGGGGGAGGTGAGATTTGCCCATGGACATATCTCCAGTGATAATGGTTCCAGGAGCTCTGCTGAGCCCTGTGTGCCTCCTTGAATCCCATGAGATCCACATATTATCATGCCCATTTCACAGATGAAGATGTCAAGGCTTACAGAGCTAAAGCACAAGGTAAGGAAGCTAGGAAGCGGGGAGCAGGGATTTGATGGCAGAGACCTCCCGATGCCAGGGTTTTCCACCAAGACACAGCGCCACTCCTGTGACTCCCAGTCACACTGTCCTGGAATCAGCCAGCAGAGACGATGTCTGTGGAGATTTGAATTCGCCCAGAGCCTGCCTGTCATTTCTGTGAGCTAACATCAGCTTTTTCCCCAACTGGCCAAGGGTGGGCAGGGAAGTGGGGCGGCTGTAGGAAACTGGGGGTGGCGGAACAGGGGTCTTCCTGTTGGAATCTGAGAAAAATTGGTAGCACTGCTGCTATCTGTATTTAAACATTTTATATTTTGTTCATCATGAATTTTTGCATCAATTTTGCAAAAATTGAGACCAAATCTCACTCTGTCACCCAGGCTGGAGTGCCGTGGTGCCATCTCAGCTCACTGCAGCCTCCACCTTCCAGATTCAAGAGATTCTTGTGCCTCAGCCTCCTGAGTAGCTGGGACTATAGGTGCCCACCACCACACCCAGCTAATTTTTGTTATTTTTAGTAGAGATGTGGTTTCACTATGTTGGTTGGCCAGACTCGTCTTAAACTCCTGACCTCAGGTGATCCACCCACCTTGGCCTCCCAAAGTGCTGGGATTACAGGCGTGAGCCACCATACCCAGCCTTTAAAAAAATATTGCATTAAAATATTCTTTATCATGATAGCTGAGTTTTTGGTGCCCCCTTCAATTTTGTGCCCAAAGAAAGTACCTCATTTACCTAATCCTGGCCCTATCTGCTTCTTCTCAAGGCCCACTTTTTTCCCAAGACCCAAGTAGCAAAAAGCAGTTCTAATCTAACTATTGTATTTTACTTTGGGAGACAAACTTAATTAATCAGAATATTTTTCTGATTCTGTCTTATTGACCAGTTTGAAATGGCAAATTAATTAATGAATTTTAAACATAGTTACTATTGAAAACTTTAACATTAATAAAATCTTGGTTTCCCTTCCTTTCTTTTCTCCCTCCCCTCCTCCCTCCCTCCCTTTCTCCCCTTCCTTCCCTCCTTCCTCCCTCCCTCCCTCCCTCCCTCCCTTCCTTCCTTCCTTCCTTCCACCTCAGGTGTTTCTGGGTGGAAAACACAGGCTTAAACTTCCTTTGGATAATATGCCCTGAATTTAGATGATCACAAAGTCTATTTTGAGAAATAATCTCTCACTTATTAATCATTTACTCGTGCCGACACCTAGTAGGTGGATGCTCAGTAAGTGTTGGCCAAAGGAAGGACTACTGAGGACAAATCCCAGCCTTGCTTGTAGGGAGAGCCCGGCCCCCAGCACCTTGCCGGAGAGGCTCCCCGGGGCCTGACTGAGCCCCATTCAGCCCCCATGTGCAGAGGATGACTCAGCCGGTGACTTCATTCACCCAGCCTGGTGTTTATCCACTCGCCACAAACCAGTTGATACTGTTTGGAGCTACCCCGAGGTGACGCTCTGCTGGTGGAGAATGACATGCAGTCAGCTTGTGGCCTCTGTGGCCAAAACAGCTGAAACACTGTGGCTTCTGAAGAACCCATTGTCTGCTGGTCAAGCATGAGGACAAGGAAGGTCCTGGTGCTGCCCCCCAGCTCCCTCGGAGAAGCATTTTGGCTTCCATGTGGGTGCAAGACAGACCACAGCAAGGGGCCCTGGCAGGGTTCTGACCCCAAGCTTGGAAGGATGATGCCTGCCATGGGGCTCCCTCAGAGAAGACCCTCGAGAAACACTGTGGGGGTCCAGTCAGAGCTGGAGGGAACTAAGGAGTTTAGAAGGCAGCTCTGCTCATTCCAAATGTATTATTACTTGGTACCACTGGATGCTGCCATGGACCCTGTTAATGGCTTGTGAGAAATGGGAATGACTGAGCATACACTTCCTTCCTTCCTTCCTTCCTTCCTTCCTTCCTTCCTTCCTTCCTTCCTTCCTTCCTTCCTTCTTTCCTTCCTTCCTTCCCTTCTTTCCTTCCTTCCTTCCCTTCCTTCTTTCCTTCCTTCTTTCCTTCCTTCCCTCTTTCCTTCCTTTCTTTCCTTCTTCCCTCCCCTCCCCTCCCTCCCCCCTTTCCTCCCTCCCCTCTACCTTCCCTCCCCTCCCCTCCCTTTCCTTTCCTTCTTTCTTTTTTTCTTTCAACAGAGTCTTACTCTGTTGCCCAGGCCAGAATGCAGTGGTGTGATCGCAGTTTACTGCAGCCTCAGCTTCCTGGACTCGGGCGATTCTCCCAACTCAGCCTCCCCAGTAGCTGGAACAGGCACACAACACCACACCACTATTTTTTGTAGAGATGGGGTTTTGCCATATTGCCCAGGCTGGTCTTGAACTCCTGGGCTGAAGCCATCCTCCCCGCTCAGTCTCCCAAAGTGCTGGGATTACAGGCATGAGCCACCATGCCCCAGCCTCACACTGGTGCTCTTTAAAGCAGCTGTCACAGTACACATCACCATGGAAATAATCAATTTCCAGCCAACAGAAAAAAATCTATCAGTGGCAACAAGAAAAGCATCAGCAGGTGCAATAGGCACTGTGCTTAACTGTATACCATGCCTCATTTAACCCCCCGGAGGTGGGTCCTGTTATTACCCTGACCTTACAGAGGAGGAGACCGGAGGTACCGGAGCTCAAGGAACCTACTGAGGTCACACAGCCATGGAGTGGAGTGACCAACTGGAGGCGCAACCAAACCAGGCAACACACAGGCGGGACCTTAAAGAGAAGAGATGACCAGGAGAAGGGAGGAGATTGGTGCCTGATTGTGTTTGGATACAGTAGGGTTCTTCGGAGTGGAGGATGGGACGGGGAGCGTGGAGCATCCCTCTCTCCCATCTCCTGTGGCCAGGTCTGCCACACCAGCCAGCCCCGCATGCCTTCCCCAACAGCCTCCCTGGGGCAGTTCACGGTTTGAAGACAACACCCCTTCATCTGAGTTGCGGTGGGTCTGTGCAAATATAAAATACAAAAGGCATTTCTGACTCCCTGGCAGCCCCTAGAACCATGGAGACCGTGGTCATAAGTGAATTCAGAAGTTGTCTTTTTTTTTTGTTTTTTGAGATGGAGTTTTGCTCGTTGTTACCCAGGCTGGAGTACCGGCACAATCTCGGCTCACTGCAGCCTCTGCCTCCTGGGTTCAAGCAATTCTCCTGTCTCAGCCTCCTGAGTAGCTGGGACTACAGGCACACGCCACCATGCCCAGCTAATTTTGTTTGTTACAAATCCTCTCTTCGATTGGTCCTCTGGATAGATAACATGTTATCAAATCACTTCCAAGCTTTCTTTACTGACTTTTCATCTGCTCAAACTGTTTTTGAAAATTTGAACAGAATGACGCCTAATGACCACTGTCTGAGGAGTTTAGGGTTTTTGTTTTCTTGCCTGAATACCCGGTGGTGACTGGGATGAGAGACATGTATGTCTTGAAGGGTTTGGGTTGTGTGAAGTCCACCTTCTGCCCCAAGAATGAGAATGGAGAATATAAGGGCTAGGACATCTCCCAGTTTGTTCCCGCAGTTCCCGACATCTCACTACTCACATAATTAGGTCAGACTCCACTAGGTCTGGAAGTGTTGGAAATAAAAATCAGAAAAAAAAATTAAAAACTGAAACTGAGGAAAAAGGAAAGCTAAAAGTGAAATGACCTAAAAGAACGACCCCATGGTCTCAGGGTGTTTTGGCTTAAGAAAGAGGAGGCAGGGAGTGGTGAGTCTCCCCATGGAGTGCTGGCTCGCTGACGCCTGGATCACGCATTAGTCAGACATGCAATGAACAGAAGAAGCCACAGCCAGATGTGGGGTGGAGACTGGGGTACAGGTGGGGTGCCCCAACCTTGCCCCAAGAGCAAAAGGGGGAGGAAGGAAAATAACGCCTCTTCACATCACAGCAATGACAGAGAGGACACCCTTGGGCGCTCCCTTTCTTCTAGATGGAGCCCATTTCTTTCTTTGTCTGGCTGCTATGAGTTCCCTGAACTGGCCTCAGCTTCTTCTGTCTCTGTTTCTGTTTCCTCATCTGTAAAAATAGGGATGATGCTTGTGCCTACAAAATGAAGTCATGCATGTAAAATGCTTACGCCCCTGCCTGGTGCCCAATAATACAACGAGCTCTTATCAGCACCAGCTCCATTTATATTTCTGGTAGTACTGCCCTGCTGTGTCTGCAGTGAGTAGTTTTGCTTTCCCACCTGCTTGCCCCCAGGTGAGTTGGCCTTTCTTTTCTCTTTCTTCTTTTTTTTTTTTTTAACCTCACAGATATCTGCTTTTGTGATTTTGAAGTCTCCTGGTTGTACGACTTTGGCGTTCTCTAAGGAGTTACCCACATTACTTCGAAGCTTCTGGGATGCAGTGCCCTTATGGAATCCCAGTGCTGGAAGCCTGTTTCCTGGACCCCGTTACCTTGGGCTGGTGCTGAAGGTGCAGAGCCTGCTGTCAGGGGTACCTGTCCTCTGTCCCAGGCCACCACTGCAGAGGGGCCTCTTGGAGAATCACTTGTGTCCATGAAAAACACTCAGCAAAAAGATGCCGATGATGTTGACACATGTTCCAGCAGGGTCAGAATGTCCAGCGTCCACATGAAAACACCGCAAGACAGCCACGGAGGAGAAAGGCTCTGGAGCTGTGCCCTCAGAAGCCGTTTTCCCTTCGCGCTCTGCTGCCCTTGTCTGTCAGCCATCTGCGCCCTCACTTTCCGAAACCGTAATGACAAACCTGTAACCATCAAGGGATCTCTCACAGGGGTGGCCTTGCCTCTGCCACTCCCTGTCACCAATCTGGGCCTCTCTTGGGGCTAGGGGATGAGAAAGTTCAGGTGACTCAACAGCAGCCTGGTCAGCCGGTAAGGGATTGGCCCTAAGCCTATCTGTCCTGGATGCCACCGGCAGGGCAGACCACAGGCTGAGCAGAGAGGCTGGAAGAGACCAGAGCACTGAGATTTTCCAGGGGACAGAAGAACATGCTCAGCTCTAGGTGGGGGCCTCCTGTTGAGATTCCCATTCCCTGTCTCACCAGGACAGACCAAGGAAGCAGCCTGTGCTTCCCCAAAGCAGGCACTAGTCCCTGGCATTGCCACCTCCAGCCACCTGTGTAGCTTTGATTGTGGCTGCCGACCCTCCTGGGCCTTATGCAGTAGAAAGAAGAGAGAATGGATAATTTGCAAGTGCCCTTGCCTGACAGCATTCGTGATACTCAGATACAATTTTGGACCTGCAGTCTTTGTCCCAGGTAGTGGCCTACCTGTGTGCTCTGTCCTGTTGGTCACCATGAAGCCTGAGCGTGGATGTGAAACACATTCTTTGTGCTTTCAGTCGAGGCATTTCCCCTGCCCCTCTCCCCTCAGCAAGTGATGTGCAGCCTGTAGTGTCTAAAGACTTGGAATATTCAGCTGCTTGTCCTGAGCTCAGAGCTTGCCTGGCTTGTCAACAGTGGCAGGAGGGAAGGCGGAAGGTTTGCGGAGAGCTCCTAATCCCGTGTGAGCAGAAAGAATGTGGCTTGATTTCTTTCCAGGCATTCCAGCTTTTTTGCTGGGCTTAGTTAAAAATGACAGAATGGGAACTGCTTTAAGAGTGATTTTCTGATGTCCCCATAAATAACGAGACTAGTTTGTGTGTTGGTTTTGAGGACTATCTTGCTACTCTAGTTTGGCACCTTAACTGGATCTTACTTGGAAACTATATCTAATGCCTTTTCCCACAACTAAGCTCTGCCGGATAAAAGTGAATTCACATTTTTGAAAAACATGGCATTTTTCACCCATTGCTTGGTGAGCCTACTTCAGTGAATGTGGTAATCTTCTTACTGAATATTGTGTGTGCAGAAGAGGGGTGGGGCAGTGAGGAGGCAGGAAATACCTACTGAGGGAAATATACTTTCCCAGTTAATGCGCTATATGCCCAGGGAGCAAAACCATCAATTGAAAGACTCTTCCCAACCATTACCTTGCACTTGGCAAGTTCATCAGGTACCCTTCCATAGCAGAAGGAAAAACCCCCCGACACATTTTTTTCTGGCTGGGTTCCTCAGTGCCACAGGAGGCCCCGGGGTGGGGGGGGGTCTAGCTAGCAGGCTGAGGCTCTCTTGTACCCAGCCTCACCTGCACACCTGGGCATTCAGCAAAGACCAGACACCTTAAAGCAGAGGACAGCATGGAAGCTCTGTTGTTCATCATCTGAACTTTAGTAAACGGAAATATTGTCCATGATTGGAGAGGAGCCTCTTCCTTGAAGGAGCCACCTGCCCTCTAAGCTGTATATTTCACAAGGTTACATTTTTATGCCTGGTTTCATCAGTTTCCCTTAGAGAACACCTGTAAATAGACCATCACTGAGGGCTAGGCAAATTCCATCGTGTATTTAATCTGCTCTCTGCTTACCAATTGCTCACCTGGACTCCAATACATATAACAACATAATTTCTCAGGACCTTGTGTATGTTCCCATTAGGTTCTGTTTAATCTAATTGCTGGGACCTCACTTCAGTGGTTGGCTGGATGCAGGGAACTTTTTTTGGCAGTGAGCCAAGGGTTCCTTCTCATTTTGCTTCTGAGGTCTTAAGAGTGTCTTTCTCCAGGAACCTTACCAAGACCCTCCCAGCTGTCCCACCCCCTTCAAAGACCGGCTTACACTTGTTTCCTTCTGCACAAAGCCCATGCCAGCTAAAATCAAGTCAGGTGGGCAGTTTAGCGAGCTCCTTTGCTTGTGTGACATAGCCCTGAAGATTTCCAAAAGCAGCTCCATGCTCCAGAACACACGTCTAAGCTTCAACCCTGTGCCTGCAGAATGCACTGCCCTGCTACAGACAGAGGTTGAACGGTCTGACTTTGCATTGTGGACACTGTATGTAATTACCTTTTATCCGTTTCCTCCTGCAGGACTCTTCAGTGCCTGCTGGTACTATTTTTTAGGATATAAACTCCTTATATGGAGCAAGTCTGCAAATCTTGCTTGGCACAATGGCCAAAAACATGCTACATGCAGGCAGATAAGTATTTTGATGGCACCTGGAACAGCTTAAATTTATTTATAGCCTTTGGCCCTTCTGAAAAGCATGATAGGCTGTAATTTTCTCAGTTAAATAAAAAAAATCACACACGTATAGTGTTACCTTTCCTATAAGGCATGGGTGGCTTCTTCCCATTTACAAGTAAAGATGGGCAGACCCATTTTCTGCCCTGTAGCTTCATGCTCCTTTTAAAGATGATGTTTGGAATGACAGTGGCATCTAGGTGCTGGTGTTGAGACTGTGGGAGAAATCGTTTATTTCTAGTCTCTTACAAGTATTTTTGTTTCAAGGAGAACCTGGTTTGCTTTTGATTTCATTGACTTTCACTCCCCGCCCCTTGCCAAGATATAAAGTAAGCAAAGACAGGCACTGAATAAGTAAAAGGCCACAATTCAAATCTACTTTTATAAAAGCTGGTGACTTTGCTGGTGGCAAAGTCTAGGAAGCCTGAGAAATCCTCTTTTGGAATGAATTGGTGCATAGAGCACCTTATGCCATGCCATCTCCTGACTTCTCCTTAAGGAAATAGACACAGCCTGGTAGCCTGGCAATGCCATCCCTCCTGCCTCTCCCACCTCCTTCCTGCCCCCCCCAAGTGAGTATTCATTTTCTCTAAACATATATATGCCTCAGATAAGCTAACATAGATAAAACTGAGTAAATCATCTCTGCGTTTGCTTTCATTTTCCTTAAGTTAAAGGGGACACTAGTTCTCCACTACTCCCCTACATTAAACAGTGGTTGGATTTCATTAATGATGATGTAGTGTTTTAATATTGCATGTGAGCAGGTCAGCCTTCCAAATTCTTAACAGCACCAAACAGACAAAAAAGCTTTCTTCACCTCTTAGGAGAATTGAGTGGCATTCAATGTCACCATTGCAGGAGACGATTCAACCCAATTTAAATGATAGGGGTAGGTGAGTGCAACAGCGGGAAGCTCAGACCTGTGTGGTATTAAGCCTCTGTCCGCGGATAGGGAAAATGTGGATTTCTCGGAAAGATGCTGAGCTCTAATTTTATGATAAATGTATTGCTTAACCCACTTTCCAGGGGGTGAATTTGTAGTTAAAAGAGACCTGTGCCTGAAGCTTGACAAAGAATGAATTCCTGGAATTGCCTCTCTCCCTTCTCTATCCCATTCTCTATCCCACCCACCTACTCACCTACAAACCTCACATTTCCCAGGGATGCCTGAACTTGAACTACAGTTTCCTGTTCGTTGGATTATTTTACAAATCAGGAAGTTATGTTTAAGTTTTGTTTTTAAGCAAGCTCAAATGTTGGTTATGCTACTTGTGGGGAAAGGGAGAGGAAAGGTGAATCTCGAGTTCTAAGCTGCCTTTCTCACGTGGAATCCCGGTTATTTACCTACCTACCTTCACCTCGAGGTTCTAAATCCACTAGGGTACAAGGACGTTTTTATTACCAAACAAATCAGACGAAAAATGTAAAACATCAGGCTTTAAATGTTTTATTTTGTTGATTCTGTACAGCGCCAGGAAACAAGGTTAGAAGTAAAATAAAGTGCCAGTTAAATTCAGCTACTACCAACAACCAAAACCTTAAACATAGAAAATCAAAGCAAACGGTGGAAAGGTCATAGCATAACTTTGGGTAAAGGAATTTGTTAACGTCTGTAACAAATCGAAACCGACCACGTCTTCAACTGCAAGACGGCTAGAAGGAAGACCTTCGGGGCGCGCTGGTCAAGGGCCGGGCCCGCTAAGGAACCGCGGGAAGCGCCTTCCTGCCGTCGCCACCGCAGCTGGGATCAGCCGGGCCGCGGGAGGTTCGGGGTTCCCGGTCCTCCTGCGCGTCTTTTAATGAGAACGTTAATTAGCGGTCTTGACAGGACAGCGACTGTGAAACGCCTGGTTACCTATTTTAGTAATTCAGGAACACTGCGTGCAAGGCGGTTTGGTTTTCGTTTTTAAGCAAGCTCGAAAGTTGGTTATGCTACTTTTGGGGAGAGGGAGACGAAAGGTGAGTTCTAAGTTGCCTTTCTAAGAAGCCCCCCGGGTTTAAGAGCGAATACTCTCCGCTACAAAATACCTGTTTCGCGAGTCTCAGATATAGCTCTCCAAACAGCTGGTTTACAAAAGCGGACCCACGTCCCAACCCAGCGCACCCTGCTTTGTCCTCGCCCCCACCCGCCGCCGAGGGTTTGTCCATCTGCCACGTCCCACACCGTCTGCGTCGCCTAACTGGTCTTTCTCTGCCTCTTGAGGTCTGGGGCCTCTTTCGATAGGACCTGGCCGGTGAGAACTAGGCGCCCGTGGCCTCTGGCCAGGGAGAAGGAAAAGAACCACCCCTCCGCCCCCGCCGCTGCTAGAGCGCAGCCCTTCCGCCTGAGAGCCAGGGTGCTCCGCTCCGGGGAGGTGGCGCTCGGGGGTGGCCTCTCGCCGCACCCGGGCCGCGCCAACCACGGCACGGCGCCCTAAATTCTACATCGGCCCCGGGAAGCGCGAAACTCCAGGCACTCGGAGAGAGCTGTGAGGGGTGGGAGTGAGCGCCTTTCTGCCCAAAGCCGCTGGAACCGACCCAGAACCCCAAACAGCCCCGACGCGCCAACGAACATCCGCTCCGGTCACTTTAGCTTCCCAGGGGCGGGGGCGGAGAAGTGGGTGCCTGACAGTCCCTTCCTCTGGACTAGAAGGTTCGAAATGCTCTCCTTGCTCGGCCTCGCTCTCCCCGACGCAGGGCGCAAGGGCGCGGAGAAGCTGAGCGGCGTGAGGCCGGGCCGAGGTCGCGCCCCAGGCCCGGGCTGGCCCTCACTTGGAGAACTGCGCCTGCACGGCGGCCAGGCCCAGGCTGGCCGGGACCAGGTGCGGAAACTTGCAGACGGCGCAGGTGCAGATGCCGGGGCCGCCCGCGCCGCCGCCTGGGAGCGCGAACTGGCCGCACGGTGGCTCGTCCAGCGCCAGCGACAGGTACTTGGCGGGGCGCAGCGCGTCGGGGGGGTCCTACAGCGCCGGGCGCCAGCAGCACGGAGCCGGGTGCGGCGGCGAGCAGGGGCAGCCCGGCCAGCAGCAGACGCGGCGCGGCGGGCCCAGCGCCCTCGCCCAGCGCGCGGCGCAGCTCCTGCAGCGAGCTGCCCAGCAGCAGGATGTAGTTGCGGGCGAGCAGCAGCGTGGCGATCTTGGAGAGCTTGCGGCCTGGCGCGCCCTGGCAGTGCGCCGCGGAGTAGGGCAGGATGACCTCGCGCAGCGCGTCCATGGCCAGGTTCAGGTCCTGCATGCGCTTCCGCTCGCGGCTGTTGATCTTGCGCCGCAGCTGCTGCTGCTGCTCCTCCTTGGCGTCCGGCCGCGCGCTGCCGCCCGTGTGCGCGCCGGACCCGGGCCCTGTGCCTGAAGGCTCGGCCGGCGCCTCCGGCTTCTCGCGCGCAGCCTTGGGGAGGGGGGGGGCCGTCGTGGTGGAGGAGGAGGAGGAGGAGGAGGAGGAGGAGGGCGGCTGCCTGTAGCCCACCAGCTCGTAGAGAGAGGCCCCGAGCTGCACGTCTCCGGGCCGCTGTGGCCGCAGCATGGTCCCGGGGGCCGCGTTCACGCGCGCCTGGGAAACCGCATAGTACATCTGGGAGGCGGTGGGGGCGGCCAAGGACGCCCTTCAGGAACGCCCCGGGGTGGGCAGGTCGGCAAGCCGCCCCTCCCCGCGGACCTGCGCGCGGGGAGCCGATGGTGGGGCCCTGGCCCGCGCCCGACCCCTTTAAACCCGGCTTGGGAACCTGCGGGGCCGCGGGCGACGGGGCGCAGCCAATGGAGGCGTGAGGCCGGGCTCAGCCGCATGTTCATTGGCTGCTGGCGCCGGGGCCGCGCCGAGGTGCGGCTGGCACCACTCTAGGAGGTTATTGTGAGCGCCTGTGCCAGCGGCGCGGGACAGGGCCCCGAGGCGGAGTAAGGGCGCCTGTGCCAGCAGCGCGGCTATTCCAGGAGGACTGGTCGCACTGGTCAGGCTGTAACTCACGTGCCTTCCTCCAGCAACTGTCTACTTAAAAACAACTTTCCCCATGTATATATATATTTTAACTGTGATCTAATATTCTTAACATAAAATTTACCATATTATTTTTAGACTACTGTTCAGTAATGTTATATACGTTTGTGTGCATATTAAATTGATTTAAATTAAATTCACATTATTGTGCAACCAATCTCCAGAACTCTTTTCAATTTGCAACCCTGAAACTCCACCCATGAAACAACTCCCCACTTCCCCTCCCCCAGCTCCTGGAATTCACCCTTCTGTTCTGTCTCCAGGCATTTGTTCTTCTCTTGGTCCCTCATGTAAGTAGAATCATACAGCACTTGTCTTTTAGTGACTGGCTTCTTTCATTTAGCCTACTGTCTTCAAGGTTTATTCATGTTGTAGCATGTATCAGAAATTTCTTCCTTTTCAAGGCTGAATAATATTCCAGTATATGGATATACCACATTTTGTTTATCCATTCATTCGTGGATGGCCATTTGGGGTGCTTTTGGCTGTTGTGAATTATGCTGTTTTTCTTTCCTTAAAATACATGATTTCCTGCAGGTTCAGATCGCTAAATTTCTGGACTAAATGACAAGTAACATTAGGATGGTTCCTCCCTGCCACTCCCAACATCCTTCCCCATCCCTCTGACTGAAAGGTCTTTAGGGACAAAGGAGCCTTTGGGTTGGGTTTGTCTCCACCCCAAAGGGGGTGATCTATCAGCAACTTGACTCTTGCTTAAGCAAAAGTCAGTCAGAAATTGGCCTCTTATTAGAAACAAAACAAAACACCCACGTAGTCCTATTAATTGAGGGTGGGAATGAATCATTTTCTTTGCCAAATAAAATAGCATTACTTGGTGGCTATGGACATTTTCTGCCCCCAACACCAATGCCTACTACTACAACTTGTCAGTGTCCTGGGGAAGAGGGCCTTTGGCATCTAAACCTCTACCATCCAATATGCCTATTTAAATGCAAATGAATGAAAATGAAATTAAGTTAAAATTGAGTTCTCCAGTTGCACTAGCATTACTTCAAGTTTGTAGTTCTCACAGATGCTAGTCGCTGTCTGCTGAACAGCACAGATACAGAACATTTCCATCTTCACAGAAAATTCCACA